AGACTTTGTCTGAAAAACGAAACAAAGATTTAAATAGGTCTAAGTTAGAGTGGAGTACAGGTAATGATTGGAACTTGAAGGTAGCTGATAGTGAATTAGTGAATCTCCCTTGGCTTCTATGCTGGAATCTTGTAGAAGACACACTTGGAACCCGAGTCCCCTGACCATTGCAGCAGGTCACGTCACCTCCCTGAGATGTCGCCAGGTTTGCCTCACTCGGGACAGGAGTGCGTCTCCACACCACGGCCGGGAGCTCGCCCCCCCGCCACACCTTCAGGGTCACATCTGCTCCGGTTTTCTTCCTTCTCCCGGGCCCTTGATCTGCAGAGCAGGTGCCGTCCTGCGGGGCCCAGCGGGTGAGCTGTGCCCTGCGCTCACCGTGCCGGAGCCTGACACCAGGGCTGCTCCCTGAATGACCCAGCAACTGCTGCCGGAGCGTGTTGCTGTGGCCAGCAGGAGTTGTAGTTGAGGTCCAGAAACCTGTGAATAATTTTAAAATACACGTGCACATTATGGTGGTTTTAGGACTGTTACAACAAATGACGTTGTCCGCACATGCGGGTGACACACGAAGCTGCCGTGGCCGCTGTGTCTCCCGTGTTGCGTGTGCAGCCTTGGAGCGGTCACCGTCATCGTCGCAGGTTCCCAGGCCTCTCACTGCTGCGCACACCGGGAGCGCAGGTGGCTCTGCACGCAGCTCCGGTTTTCTGTGGTAGGGAGCGCTGGGCTACGTGTTCTTTCCTGATACACGCTGGAAACTGCTCTTCCCAGGAGCTCAGCAGGGTGCTGCCAGAGACTGCCGGGCAGCGGCCGGGCTCTCGGGGTGGAGACGAGCAGGCTTTGCTCGATGAGCGTGTCCGTGGCGCTTGGGACTCGCGCTGGTGGGACAGACGGGGTGTTTTTTTTTTTTTTTGACGGTTGTGCTTTTAAGGGACCTCATGTCTTCATCGAGGTGGCAGACGGGAGCCCGCGTGTCATTTTACGTGGTCAGAAAGAGATGCCCGTGCACGTTGGGCTTGTGCGACTCAGTTCATGCGGTTACTCATTCCCATCTCTGTCGCTCGTGAGCTCAGAGCTTGTGCACTGAGCGGTATCTCCAGCTCTTTTTTGTCTTTATTCTTTTATTTTGATACAAGATCTTGCTAAGTCACTTAGTTGCCCAGGCCGGGCTTGGACTTGGGTCTCTGCCTCAGCCTCCCAGAGCGCTGGGATGGCAGGTGTGCGCCCCCAGGCTCAGCTCCAGGTTTGACTGTTAATGAAGGCCTCCGCCCCGGAGGGTGCGTGGAGACTCCTCGGCAGGGCGGGGTTGGCCTGCTTGCTGGGGGAGCCAGGGAGACAGCCTGCCCCATTTCGTTCTCCGCCCGCCCTGGGTCTGAACTGCCGAACCCAGCCAGAAGCAGAAGCAAGTGGCGAGCTGCAGTGGCCAGTCAGGCTCAGCCCCTTGGCAGAGGAGGGCCGAGCACAGGTGCAGGAGTGCAGGCTGCACTGTTTCCGGTGGGCATTCTAACAGTACCGTAAGCGCGGTGGCTTAAACCAGCAGGAGGGTGTCGGCCAGTCACGGAGCCAGAAGTCCAGCCTCAGGCCGCTCAGTGTCACCTGGGGGGTCTGGGGAGTCTGATCCTGCTTCCTCAGCTTGCGGCTGTGTCCCCCACTCGTGTGGACTGTGTCTCAGGAAAGGAGGCCTCGGAGCGCCTGGCGCCGAGGGTCTGGCAGTGTGGGGCCGCGGGAGCTTGGGGACAGCTCAGAGCCACTGCCAGGGCCTCCGCTAGGGCACAGCTGGTGGCAGGCCGGGGGGTGGCAGGAGGCCGCCCCAGGTTGCGGAACCCATGTGAGTAGAGTGTGAGGCACGATGGCTTCTCTAGCGGGGTAGGGTTCGTGCTGTGCCCGACTGGATGTGTGCTCACTGAACACAGTGCCGGGCCGCTTCGCGGGAGTTAGGTCTTCAGAGCAGGGCGCGCGGACAAGTTCCCCTGAGGAACCCAGCCCAGGCTCAGCAGACTTGAGTACTGGCAAGAGTTGCGGTTTGTTTAAACTTGCTAGTAAGGTCCCTGCCTTTGTTCTGATAAGGCTTATGTGGCAGTGGAGCACCTGGGGACTGCCGCGAAAATGGCTTCTCTGGAAATACAGACAGACGTGTCCGCCTGCTCACCTGGGAGGGCACCGTTCTGGTTACAGAGGGAGCCAGACTCTCCCTGCTCTGTCCGAGCTGCACCCATGAAGCAGCTGGTTTGGAGAGCCTCGGTGAAACCCCAGCCCTCCAGGCACACTGCAGGGCTGGGGCGCTGTCCCTGCCCTGGCCCCGGCCCTGCCCTTGGACTGTTGCACGTGCAGAGGGCATTTGTGAGCGTTTGCCTGTTTTTCCCTAGTCCTGGCCTTCACGCTGAGCTGCATCCCCAGCCCTTTTAATTTTTTTATTTTGAGACAGGTTCTCACTAAATTCCCCAGGCAGGACTCTAACTTGTGATTCTCCTTCTTTAGCCTCCGGAGTGCTGGGATTTACAGATTTGTGCCGCCACACCCAGCTCCAGAGGAAAATTTTTATCTGTTTTCTTACTGAGTTTATTTTCTCCCATGTTCCCCCAACCAAAATAAATACATAATGAAACCAAGCATGGTCATGTGCACTAGTAATCCTAGCTGTTCAGGAGGCTGAGGCAGGAGGATCGGGAGTTTGAGGTCAACCTGGGCAAGCTAATGAGAGCCTGTCTTCAAAAGGGCTGGGGGCAGGCACTGTATGTACTCAGGGGTGGAGTGCTCTCCTCACACAGGCAGAGCTGTGGGTTTACTCTCCAGTGCGCACACACAAACACACGCAAAAGAGACCAGTGTGTTCCAAGAGGGAAAGGTATGGACAAGTGGGCTACAGCTCAGTGGCACAGCATCACCTGGCAAGCACAAGGTCCTGAGTTCAATTCCCAGCACCAAAAAAAAAAAAGAGAGACATGTTAAAAGATAATACTTTTTCATTTTTAGGAACAACAGACGTTAAGAGCAGAATATGTTTATTGAGGAAAAAAAAAGAAAGCTTCTGTCCAAGAGAGAGACAGAAGGGGGGCCCGAGTGGGTCACCCTATTTTTCCATTTTTATTTATTTATTTTTTTTCTTCCGGTACCAGGAATCGAACCCACGACCTAGTGCTTGCCAGGCAGGCGCTGTGCCGCTGAGCTAAATCCCCAGCCCCTATTTTTTCATTTTTAAAACAAAGGCAGTTTGTTTTCCCGGGACACCTGCCCTTTCCATTTCACTGATACCCTGCACATTGGTGGTCAGGAGTAGGAAGCGAAAAGGGCAGAGCCTGGCTGTGCCGGGCTCCCTGCTTCCAGAGGGAGGCACTTGGGGCCCTCAGACAGACGGCCGGCAGAAATGACTTTATGCAAATGTGTCCCGCTGCAAGTGCAGCGGTCGTGCATCTCATTTTCCTTTAGGAGAATAAAGGAAACTGAAGTGAAACTGAGTGCTCCAGAAAGGAAGCTCTGCCCACCCTCAGCACCCACTTCCTGGCCCACGTCCCTGCTGCCCACGTCTGCCTGAGGGCGCTGTGGCTATGTGCAGGGCGGCCACTTGGAATTCCTAATGTTTATTCACATGAAAACATCTGAATGCCCGAAGGATGTCAGAATCCCAACCATTCTCTCTGCCCATTGCTAATATTCTATGTTGTAGTTCCATCTGTGAAACCCTATGTACCTTTTGGAACCTATCAGGTTTTTTCCTTTTTTTTTTTTTTTTTTTTTTTTTTGTCTTCTTGAGACAGGGTCTCACTTTGCAGCTCAGGCTGGCCTGGATCACAGCAATCCTCCTGCGTCAGCCTCCTAAGTGCTGGGATTACAGGCCTGCGTCACCACGCCTGGCTTGTTTTTTTGCTTTGCTAGAGGGGTCATGCTACTGATTGGTTGCATTTTTATCCAGGAGGTTTACCTTTCCATTGCCATTGAAACCCTTTGTTTTATTTTATTTATTTATTTTAAGGAGAAAGATTTACTTAGCTCACGGTTTGTAGAGATTTAAGTCCGTAGTCAGCTGGCTCCAAGGTGGGTGGCTTCACAGAGCAGAGCAGTTCATGGTGAGTAGAAGAGCACAAGCAACGAGAGAGAGGAGAGGCTGGAATCCTTTCAGTCTTAAACTGAGCCCTCGGCCTAGGTCCTCGGTGTGAGGTACAGACCGTGTCCTTCCGGCTGGCGAGGCCGCTCCTGATCCAGGCCTCGGGCCGGGCTCGGTTTGCCCGCGGCTGTGCGCCGAGGTAGACTGCGCAGGCGCGTCCAGGGGCCGTGGCGGGAGGCGCAGGCGGGAGGAGTGGATCCAGAATCCGGAGAGGAAGGAAGTAGCAGAAATAGCACGGGCGAGCGGGGTGCTGGGCAGCGCGGGGGGAGACCCGGGTGGCGGGAGGGGCGTGGGGAGCCCCCCGGTGCTGGCTGCGGATTGCTCCTCGGACACCTGGAGCGCAGGACGGGCGGCTGCGGAGAGGAGCACCCCGCGCGCGCTGTGCGGGGGCTTCGTTCTTCTTCCCTTAAATGCGCCGGCCGCGTTTGCCCGCACCTGTCTCGGAACTCCGTACCTTTCCCTGCGAGGCCTGCGCCGGCGGCCTCCTTCACCGACCAGGTCGCCTGTCGTCCTTCCGGGGCACCGTGGCTCACCGTAAAGGCTGCGCCGGAGCACCGGGCGCCTCGGGCCGGCCGTGCCCTCTGCGGGCGGGGAAG